TGTCTCTACTAAAAATCCAAAAATTAGCTGGGTCTGGTGGCGTGTGCCTATAATCCCAGCTACATGGGAAGCTGAGGCAGGAGAATCGCTGGAATCTGGGAGGCGAAAGTTACAGCGAGCTGAGATCATGCCATTGCACTTTAGCCTGGGCAAAAAGAGCAAAACTCTATCTCAAAAAATGGGCTTATAGGAGCATATTTTCAAGGTAATTAATAAGGTAGTTATTACCTTATTAACAAGAAGGTAATTTCAAGGTAATTAATAATAGGGAGTACTTTGAGAGTATAGGAAACAGTATGGTGGGTTGGGCATGGTGGCTCATGCCTGTAATTCCAGCACTTTCGGAGGTTGAAGTGGGAGAACTGCTTGAGGCCGGTACTGTAAGACCAGCCTGGGCAACACTGCAAGACCCCTGTCTCTAGAAAAAAATTATTTAAAAATTAGTTGGGTGTATTGCCATGCACCTGTAGTCTCAGCTACTTGGGAGGCTGAGTTGGGAGGATTGTTTGAGCCCAGGAGTTTGGAGGCTGCAGTGAGTTATGATTGTGCCACTGCACTCCAGCCTGGGCCACAGAGTTAGATCTATTTAAAAAAAAACAACTAAATGGAAAATGTGGTTACCCTTTTAAAATCAGGCTTGTCAGTTCATAGTGGAAAGTCTTCTAAGCAGGGAGCAGACACTGACACATCTAGCAAACTTGATCAGTAGCGGGCTCAGGGCAGCCAACTCTGGCAGCGTGTGTCCCGCTCTGTTGCCAAGAGAAAATAGCCTTATCTGGGTCACCGGGAAGGTGCTATCGTGAGACCAGCCATCAAGGGCCTCGGCCTCACTTTGCTCCAATTCCCCATCGGCTCTTCCCTAGTATTTCAATCCTGGGAGAGATGGGATGATTTTCATGCCTTGGATAGGGCACGAAAGCAATCAGTCATTGGTAAAGGGGCACTCCATGGCAATTCACAGCTGCTGATGAATGCATCAACCCAGTGGGGCTGAGCTCCTGTGAGCGGCTCCTGAAGTCTGAGTATCTCTAGATGGAAAGAAAGGGATGCCAGGACAAGAGGACCAAGGCTGCACCTTGACCAGAACCTGCGTGCTGAGGGATGGCCAGGCTAAGAGGTTTCTGGGGCACCTGGTGGCCTTTTTCACTGCTGTGACGTGGCTGTTTCTTCAAACTCCTACAGCTACACTTAGACCCTCTCTCCCAAGATGTCCCAGCCACAATTTTATTTGGTTGAGTGGCAACACACACACACACACACACACACACACACACACTCAATTTGTCTACAAGAATTATAGTTTTCATATAAACCACAGAATATATTTAATTCAAATTACACATGAAACTAGAATAATGTTCGGTCCTTATCAAGTAGCAATTACACTGTTTAAAAAAAACAAAACAAAACAGTACATTTCTGTCTACATTCCGGCAATCCAACGAGGCGGCATGGGTCACATCCAGTTTGACGAGGTGACAGAGCCAGCAGTCACCATCCATGTGCATGGTTCTGAGGGGACTGGGGAGACACAGACCATACGTGATACAAAATGATTCTGCAGCAAGTCTGAAGGAGAGGTGCCTCCCTCCTGATACATAAGGATGAAAGTCCAGGTAGCAGAGAGTGGGCGACTTGCATAATGAGCGCATTTTATTAAATAGTTAACACACTGCTTCTGACTCATTCCAAGTTGCTGTAGGTGCTGCCTGCATTCAGAGCAGGGACAAAAGCTTCTGACGCACGTCTCAGCAGGAATACTCTCTCCATTCCAGGTATTTCTTTGTTTTAGTTTTTTTTGGCATGATTTCCTTCCCATGTAAAGAAAGCCAACTTCTTCAAGACACAGGTCATTCAGCTTCAGTGGTGGCCTCCAGGTTCTCCTTGGGCCGTGCAGAAGGCCAAGTCCCGCACAGTGAGGCCCTCCTCTGTCCTCCACTGAAAGCTTTTCACTGTTTGGTCTGCAAAGAAAGAGGTTTGCCTGCTCCTGCTCCATTCGCCAGGGTGGAAGGGGTGAAGGGCTGGGAGGCGGCTTTCTTCACAGGGCGGTGCTCTCAGTATCATTGTCTATATCCAGCAGGATGCAGCCAGGCACGTCTTTGCTGGCTGAGTCTGAGTGCATTTCAGGAAAGATGCTTTGAAGCGGTTCTGAAGCCCTGGAATTGGCGTCTGGACAAAAACACAAGAAGACATGGTATCAATGAAGGGTAACGCCCAAGAGGCCACCTGAGGGTGCTCTGAGAAGGAGAGAGGCTGGGAAGTTTCAGAGTCAGCCCATGCACACAGAGTCCCTTGCAAGAGGCCCTCATCAGCTCTTAGAAGCCAAGTGGAGCCTTTGAGATCCCAGAGGGTGGCTGAGTGGTACAGCCCCACCTCCAGGCTCTGATGTTGTTTGCTATGAGCCCAGGGCAGCCTGTGGAGAGGCAGCTTTCAAAGGATTTCCTTGCTTTGATGGAGGAAAGGAAGCCTCATTTTTATCAAGGCCTCTAATGATGAGATGAACCCTCCTCATGGCCCCTGGGCTGCCCTAGGAAGAGGTCTCTCCTTGAGACTGCTGGGTTTTCCTCCTGTTACTAACACTATGACCTCGCCCTCAGCACTAGCAACACTTGGGGCTGAATTATTTGTTGTGGCCGTCCTGTGCATTGTAGGAGTCACCCGTCAGATGCCAGTAACACACAGCCTCCTCCCACAGTGTAACAACAGAAAATGTCTCCTGTGCATCATGGATCATTGGGGAAGTTTAAACTAAAATGTCTCCAGATACTGCTGAGTGTCCCCTGGGAAATCACAACCACTGCTGACTGACATCACTAAGGCAGACTAAGTCTCCTTCCCCTTCTCTAATATACCTCGAATGCCACTTTCATGTCTTATTACATTGGCTGAAATTCCTTCAGCAAGGTGGCAAACATATGGTCCTCATGCTGTTGTCCCCCTCTCCTATGCTCTTCTCAGAGGCCAGTGGGTTTCAGATTCATTTATGCATGAACAAATATTTACTGAGCACCTCCCAGGTGCCAGGCACCATTCTACCTGCTGAGGACGCAACAGTGAACAAGACAGGCACAGACTCAATGAAGCCCACAGTCAAGTGGGCGAGCCAAGGGGATCCTAATTAAGACAGAAGGGTTGGCTTCTCTAGTAGATGTGGGTTCTGGCAAATTATGAGAGCCTCATTAGGTATTTTAGGGCTAGTGTAAGAGAGAAGAGAGATGTTTCGATGTGCTGTGGTTTTGCTTTGCTGGGTTAGGGGTGGCTATGGCAGGCAGCAGTAAAGGAACTGTGTCCTTGCCGGGAGCTAGTTTTGACTGTATTTCTGTTTGACCTACTCCCATCTACACGGGCACAGCTTGAAAACGCTGATACACTTTGGGGGAGCTCACCGCTTGAAGACTTGGTCCAGCTCCCACCCCTTCCACCCTCCTGTCCCTACAGTTCTGAGCTGTGACATCTACTTACTCTCTGGCGCATCCTTTTCCTCACAGTGACTCCTGGGTTGTCCCTCAAGGTTTCCTATGCACACAACTCAGAGAAATTTCTAGATTTATGGAGGTGCCAAGGTGTCCAAGAATTCAGGTGCTGAATGTCATTTCAGACAATTCAGGCCTTGTGATAACTATAAAACCAGCTATACTGCGCAGAATTGTACCAGCCTACAGTGCAGTCAAAGGTGGCCTGTGTGTACAGAATAGGTGATGTCTTGGGATTGTCCTAAGCAGAATGGAAGTCAACGAAGACAGGGACTGTGTCTGTCTTGCTTACAGAGTGTCCTCAGTACCTAAAACAGTGACCGGCAAATAGCATATGTTCAATAAATTTTGTAGCTGGACACTTGGATGTTTGGATGAATGAATGAAGTCATAAGTAGCTGTGACTTGAAGACGACACTAGTATAAGAAAATTACTGCAAATGCAATCCTTTCCCCATTATCCTGGCCCAACAAAACAGAAGGGGCTACCAGCCTGTATCTCTTCTCAGCCCAAAGTTTACCAGAAACTATGGAACCAACATGACCTGGCGAGGAATGCATGATTCAGAGATACTGTACATACAGATGAGATTTCTACTTGTTAATATCTGTACTCACAGGTGAGCTAACACATATCAGCCAGCAAGCCCTTCCACAGCTGCTCTTTCTCTTTTTCTCATACATCACAGATAATTTCTAGATTTGTGCCTCTCTGAATTTTTCTATTTATGATCCAAACACATTTTTTACTCAAGGGGGAAAAATGTGCAGTTGGGTGTAAAGGAAATCCCTTCCTCTGCCTCTCACCCTGCCCCATCTGGTTTCCCCAGCCCCTCTCTATTCCTACATGAATCATTCCCTGAAAGAAAACAATGAATTTGTTTACATACAAAAAGTAGAAAGAATTACGGCAACTTGTATAGAACCAGTTTTCAGAAGGAGACTTCATCACAATAGCTAACATTTAAAAAAATTTTTTTTCTCCTTTTTTTTTTTTTTTTTTGAGATTGAGTCTTGCTTTGTTGTCCAGGCTGGAGAGTAATGGCACAATCTCAGTTTACTGCAACCTCCACCTTCCGGGTTCAAGTGATTGTCCTGCCTCAGCCTCCCAACTAACTGGGATTACAGATGTGTGCCACTGTAACTCCACTAATTGTTGTATTTTTAGTAGAGAGGGAGTTTCACCATGTTGGCCAGGTTGGTCTTGAACTCCTGACCTTGTGATCTACCTGCCTCGGCTTCCCGAAGTGCTGGGATTACAGGTGTGAGCCACTATGCCTGGCCAAAACAATTTTTTGAGATGGGGTCATACTCTGTTGCTCAAGCTGGAGCGCAGTTGTGCGTCTC